ACCGGAGCCGGTACTACTGGTGGTGTCGTTGATGTTGTGCAGAGTCCACCAACTCTTGGGGAGTCGAAGGCAATCTTGCAGGAAGGAACGCACGCGATGGGGATAAATGACAACGGTAGTGAGGAAGTGAATTTTGGCGGAAATGATCATAGGGCAGAGCAACAAGGACCTCCCAGGTCGTTGCCCGGAGAAGTGCTGCAACACCAGCCGCAGGCAGCGAAACAGTCGGACTACGACTCCGAGGAGTACTCGTCCCTGATGTCGGCGGAGTGCGGTACCTCCTTTCACGAAAAGTTAGAAAAGCGATCCATAGACTCGTCGAGTTACAACTTTGTCGTTGGACCGACATCAACTGCTGGCCAGCACCATCAACCTCAGTCGATATCGCCTGCTCCTGGGGCTGCAGCTGCAGGATCAGGATCACCACATCCGGCTGTACCACCGGGCCCCAGTGCCTCGAAAACCACCGTGGACCTGATGATGAGCATGAGCATGCAGAGCCAGCATTCCTTTGCGTCCAATCGGTCCATGGTTGCGCCCTTTATTCCGCCAAAGTCCTGGGAGCGAGGCGCACTTGCAGGTTCTGGTGGTGGCGAAACTGCCACAGGAGGAGCAGCCGGGAGTCTGACTACAACAACATCGCCGGGAATAATAAATACGATCCCGAACTACAACAAGGAGGCTACCGCCGCTGCCGCGCCTGCAACCGCCGGATCCTCCGCTCCTGGAGCTGCTCCCGGTGGGCCAGTCTCGTCGTCCCTGTCAGCCGAGACTACGCAAACTGAGGACCTGGACTCGAGCGGTTCGAAAAATTGGCACCATAATTCTTCTTCTAACGCTATGGGGTTCTCAAACGTTACATTCTCAACTGTTACATGAATTTGTGATGCAAGAATGGCAAAAAGGCATGGGGGGAGCTTGCGCGTCTTGCATGACAGATTTGGTGCAGATTTAGACGCTGTTTAGCCCTCCGAGAATTTGCCATGCGAAGCAGCTTGATCATGTGGTGGCCCATGGCCATTTTGCATGACAAATCATGTAACAGTTGAGAATGTAACGTTTGAGAACCCCATAAACGCACCGGGCCCTACTGCTCCGAGGGGAGTGACAGGAAGTCCGTTTTCCACGTCGGAAAAGAAGGTTCTGCATTCCGCCCCCTCGTCGAGTTCCGCACTCGTGGGAAGCCGGAACGCGAGCTTGAGCCGCAGCCCGTACAGCAACGAAAACAGCAGCAAGGAGCGGGCGTACGACGAGCCGCCAGGCCCGGATTCCTTGTGCTCGTCGCGCGACGGGCTGGGGTACCAGCACAGCGGCTCCGTCCTGAGCCGGGAACAGACGGCCGCCGGGGAGGGCATTGCGACCGTCAGTTCCTGCGCCGGCAGCCACGACCTGGGAAGAAACGAAGAGATCCCGGAAGAACATTCGGAGCAGGTCGGAGGTGGGCAGAACAAGAACAACGGGACTACTACAACCAGCGTGCATGATGAGCGGCGAGCAGAACCCGGCGCCTCCCTCCCGGAGAACGATAATGAACTAATCCGAGACCATTCGTCCCTTTGTGGCGAAGTGGACTCCCTCCGGAACAGTTTCGATTTTACCATCTCCGACGTGCCTCACAACTTTGGAGCTTGTTCGTCGGACAGCAATTTTGAGGCAGGTCTGAATAATAACTACAATAATGCGTTGTCTCCGCGGATATCGGATCCGGTCGCGTTCCACCCAAACGCTCCCATTGGCACGACAGGTAGTTTGCACGACCGGGTGAACACGGTCGGAATTCCAACGAATCTGCAGAGCGTCTCGCAGAAACTCCTGATGTCACAAGGCGGTGCCGCTTCGCCGGGAAGCGTCAGCAGTAGTTCTCCGCCACCCGCCGCCCAGGGAGGTTCGACCATAGCCACGTTTACCTCCCCCCGGCGTGCTTCCAATGGCCGGGAGCGGCTCGGAAGCAGTATCGAACTAGTGAAAAATAACTTCAGCACACAGCAGGCTAACGCCGGCAGTGGCAGAAGCAGTGATAATTTTAAGAATGGCTCTGAGAAAAATTCCAGCAGGGAGCAGCTAGGACAGAGTGCAGCAAATCTGGTGCCCGGCAGTGTGAACCAGGATCAAGAAACGGTTACGACGATCCCTGCCATTGAGCCAAAGATGCAGGCGCTTTCGCTGAAAAGCAAGTTCGCGGAAAACAAGCAACATCACAATACCAGTCCGGAACAAGTTGTAGGCGGGGGAGCTTCTGTTACTGTTGCACCTCCTGCCGAGTCGAGCGGTGACCCACCGAGCGCGACGGCGATGGGGGTGCTGGAAAACGCGAAGGAGCACGAGAGGCAAAAAACAGTGCCGGCGAGCAGCTCGCAGAACCGCAGGTTTTCGGTCGCCGCGGGCACGACGCTGCTGGAATCCTACCTGTCCCCGGGGAAGAAAAAGCAGCTGAAAATAAATGTATCTTCTGGCCAGGTTGTGCCTAGTCTGCAGTCGCTGAAAGAGACCTCGACGGGTGGTACCTCAGTCAGTTCGCCGGAGGCAGTACTGAAAAAATCGCCCTCAAGCGTGTCCTTCTTGGGCAAATTGTTTAGCACTGCCATGACCGCCAAGACAGGAACGGCTGGCGCACTTGCACCAGAAAACAGCACCAGCAGCAGTAAGGAGAACGGTACAAGTTCGAATGCGGACCTTGCTAATGGTTCTATCAAAACAATAAATGCTGGAACGGGCGGTCGTGGCAGCTCGGTGCCGCCGCTACACGCCGGACCGCTGACCCGCAGCGTCACCCCTCCCGACGAGCGCAGAAAGCTGAAAAATGTTTCCGAGAAGAATAGCGCGCCGATTGATGGAACTACTGCTTCATCACCATCAGCTGCGACTCGGCAACACCAGCTACTGAATGGAAACAGTCCGGTGACGCCCATCTCGAGCGCGACCCAGCGGGGGCGGCAGATGTCGCTGCAGATCAGTCCTTTGCACCCCAACTTTGACGTGCTGGCTCACCAAGAGCAGAAGGGGGCGGCGGAGCATCTGCAGGGAAAGACCAAACTGACATCCTCCGGCGCAACTATCAAGAATTCTCCGCGGAATAACAACAACCCGAGTGCCAATCACCCAAGCGGTACGCCCCCCGGGTCATCGAGTGCAAGCACCCCGATGAGCACCAATCGTGACAGGCGCCACACGTTGATGCATTCCACAGGGTCGGCGGGGCAACAGCAACAGCAGCACTCACACACGCAACAGAGTAGGGATTTTTCCGCCGCCAGTGCAGCTCTCCGTGGTTCGCCCGGGCAAAGCAGAGCTGTCGCTGTGCCCAAAGGGTCGAAGGACAAGCTCTCGCAGACCGCACAGTCGCTGGAAAACATAGAGGAAGGTAGAACGGCAACGGAGCAAAACTACGAACTATTGAACCAGAAGCCCGGAGGCCAGGCGAACGGGACCTCGAGTAGGACAGGAGGACACAGAAAAATGGAGGACAAAGACGACTCGTCCAACACGCAGAAATCACCCAAACATGCCACGACCGATACTCCGCAGCGACAGCCGACCAGCAGTACGGAAGTAAATTTGAGCGGCAGTAAGAACCCGGGGGCCCGGGTTCCCAACAGCAGCAAGCGCTCGGAGGTGTTGACGCACAGCAAGAGCCGCGTGTCGGACATTTCCGAACGCGGTGAGTCGGTCGAGGATTTGGAGTCAGCAATGGACTACGCGGAACGCGAAAATGACCGCCGCGAAGGGCAGAACAAGTCGTCATCGAAGGAAAAATTTTTGAGCAACATCGTGAGTCGCAGCACCAGCAGCCGTCTGCTTGGAAACAGCATCACGCTCGTCGGGACGACGCTGTTCAACTTAAGCAACAGCATCAGCTTAAAAACACATGTGAACAAGGCTGGACAGCAGGGCCGAGAGGACCGAGAGCAGAACAGTGAAGATGTGGAAGCTGTAAACTACAGCAACGTTCTGACGGGAAGTATCAATTTCAACGCGATCAGACCGCGACGCTCGGTGTCGGAGCTGCGCTTTAGTGGCAGTAAGCTGTTCAGAAAGCTGTTCCAACTCCTTTCCTTGAAACCCGCGAGCGACGACTTGCAGGGCGTGCTGCGGTACACCAGGGCGCAGCATTTCCTCTCCCTCGCATACATGGTTTTGCTCCTTACCGCGTTCTATCAACCACAAAAATCGAAGTCATATGATGTCCGGGTTTGAAAGAAGATTGCAAGACTGGACTCCTAACAGGTGACAGAAAAATCGGTCATGCGTGTGGGGCTGCAGTAGCAGTTGCAGTGCCATTCCTATTTCTTTGTTATCACAAAAGCTGTGCGACTTGATGTCATGCGGTTTACGCTAGAGCTAGACGTCGTCGCTCGGAGAGAAGTTGTTCTTGTGTCACTTATCATGTCTGGTACCGGCCTGGAGCTGGAGCTTGCTCAACGTCTTCGTTCGCATACCACTTCTATGGCATCACATTCACGACTTGTTTACCCAGACCCGGACATATTTTTGCAATGCACACGCTTCTTGTCTTAACCTACTTTCTCCATTTTCACGACGTGTTTTTTCCCGCAGAAGGCGTGCGACTGTCGTACTCCGCGATATTTGTGGACATCGTGCAGTTTCTGCTCTTCGCGCTCGCGTTTCTATCGCAGTTGTCGTATCTTGAGTGAAGACGCCCCAGTCCCAGCGATGTGAAGCAAATCTGCATGCGTGAAACGTCTCTCACGCGCACCCTCATGAGAGTCATTTTCTATATGGGAATGATATCTGGAAGCTCAAGCTTGTCTGTCACGCTGGAAGCAGGATGAGCTTATCAATTTCGCATGCGGCTGCACTATGTTCAAACAGAAACTTGTGATGCGCAACAGCCACGCACTGTTGGCTTGTGCAGCAAAATCCCCATCTTACTGGCGGGGTGTGGGCTTCGTTTTTACATAGGATATGCCAGGCATCACTTTCTTTTCCTCGCCCACATTCAACACGTTGGCTACCTACGCAAAACGAAACGGGTTTTTCGTCAGCTGGGCGGTGAAAGCCAGGAGGCGGCTGCTGGTTACGATATTTCTGCCGTTGGTGCTGTCCTGCGCGGTCTTTTTAGACAAGAACGAGGTCTACGACGTGTTGCAGGAAGTGCGAAGCGAGGGCGGATTATCCTGGTGAAAAACGTAGTACCCAGACAAGGGGTGTCATGCAGATTTGCACATGTTGAATGAACACTATTTGCAATACCGTACCTCCCTCCTATGCCCCATGAGAGGCATTTCTTTTAGTGTTTTGGTCCCTGTAAAAATGCAGCAACCTACAGGATAACTAGCAGATAGCATTGTGCAGTGCTGGCTTTTCGTCCTGTTCATGCTAATAATTTGTTCGTCTGCACTTCACACTCAAAGTCAAACCGAAGCTCGTGGGTAATTGCGTGGTTTTTCCTGAGGATACGGCTCGAGGAGGCAGTTGGGAGACGTCGAAGGCCGCGAGGAGCTGCAGCGGACAGGTGTACTTGAAGACGCTGCTGTTCTTCTTGAGCAGCGTCACCTACCGCTTCCCACGTGGCCGGATAGCACCATCAGCGCGAACCTGTTGTCGTCGATTAATACCAACGCAGTTGAACACGAGGAGGCACCATCTGTAGTACAACAGCCACCACGAGCATTGAGTTTGAGAACAGACACGGCCTCCACCAGCACAGCAATGTCGGGTCGTGGTCCGGCGCCGAAATATCCGGGCAGTAAAACAAGCAAGGCAACATCAACATCAAGCGGGCGGAAAAGTAGATCCTCTCAACATCTGCTTGCATTGATGAGAGAACGGAGGAAGAAGAGTTATGATTCCTCTGTAACTGCTGTTAGGAACGGAGTTGGGGAAATCGAAATGGAAGAAGAAGAAAAAACGCAATCGTCATTGGATGCCGGTGGGGCACTGGTAGAGGGCTACCTGAGCATGGTGACAGCTTCGCAAGAACACGACGGAATAAAACCAGGAGCGACCACTCCTGTAAATAACCTCTCTCCAAGCACGAGTAGGCTTCTTTCAGCCGCAGCGACCGCGACGTAAGTGTGGCACATATGTCTGGGTCCGGATGAGAGTATACCTGTTTTGGGAAATTCTGATGATGCGCAAATGCGTGGTGCATAGAGCAGATTGGAGGCTGCAGAAAAATAGTATGAATTAGGGAAACTGTAACTGTCACAGTACTAACCATCGCAGTGCGATTCCTGTCTCTGATGCTAGTTGCGCACACTTCAAAACATTTGTCATTCTTCGGTGGGGGAAGCACCTACTTACTGATACAATTACATACTGGAGTCCGTTGCTTTTGCTCAGACAGCAATGAATTTATCAGTCGCAAACGTTATTTCCAAACTGAAAGCCTAAGCCAGACCCAGACATGTTCGCAAGTCATGCGCCGGGAGCAGATCCTGGTGCAGCAACGAAGAACAACACGACCAAACGGGACCGGGTGATAGGGCGCCTGGTGTTGGCCTATGCGGTCTGGGTTTGTATTCTCAATTTGATCGCTGTTTTTCTCATCGTGTTGGACTTCTGTTCGCTCTCTCTAGACGCTTTCGCGTTGGAACTGGTGAATTCCGATGTGCTGGATGGGCTCATCAAAAAGTTCAACATTTTGAACGCCCACCTGCGCATATGAGAGTGCACAGCTCCCCCGAGGTCGCCTCACATTTGTCATGCAAAGAACCCGACCGTCGCGTCTTTGCCTTTTGGTTTTGGCCCTTGTTTGTGCAAGCATGACAGGTTGCGAAAGACCAAGCACCAGGACTTAAGTACTTACCTACTTCAATCCAGCAAAAAGTGTTGTGGATCTGTCATGCCCAAGCTGCATTAGATTCGTTTGGGTTCCTTCTGATTGAGATTGTCACAGCCGTTATTGTAGTTGCTGTAGATGATCATGCGTTTTGATCATTGGGGGCCGCGCAGGGGGAGGTGTGCAGCACTCGGATACCGCAGGGGCGCGTACGCGGTGCAGTTGCCCCTGGTCGCCTATACCACTGCTGGGTTTGGCTTGATGTTCGGCATCCTACACCACTTCCTGCAGGCGCAAACCGGGTCGGGCGACCTCAGTTACTGTGCAATCCTGTGGGTGCTCGTCATCATTGCGCTGGGCCTGACGCTTCTCAACACGATCGCAATGATCAACATCAAATGTCAGCGCCTGCCGACGCTGGTACTAACTTACTACTTTCCTGCTCTTTCTGGTGTTGGATATCAAACAAGAGCCATGATCGACATCGATGTAGTTGAAAACTAGAAACGTAGAACTCCAACTACCCAACAAATCATGGGCTTTTCTTCAGGTAAACTCGCTGAATTTTGGGCTGGAAATTGACTATGACCGATGGTGCGTAGCGTCGCACATCGCAGCCTGTGATGCGGGGTTCTTCGTGTACAATGTTCGACTAGCGCCTGCTTCGGTCTTGAAGTTTGGGTATTTGAGTATGGCAGTTGGGTTGTACCTGATCTCCAGAATGGTCAAGTTGGAATAACGAGCTGGGCGCGGGAGAAAACTAGTACTTGTTTAATTATTCACACTTCATGATGATCATCTCAGTTGCAGGCTCTATTTATTATCGCAATTCATCTTTCGCACGTAGAACTTACTTGCTCCTCTAATTGTAGTTTACATTTTGTTTTTGATTCTGTCTCTAGTGTTCTCGAATTAACAGAAAGACTCAATAAAAAATGATGAAAGACAGCAAGGCACCACTGTACGTCGATTCGACACAAATAAGCCTGTGCAATGCCGTGGTAAGCCGTTTCAAGTTTGTACGAGTGAAAAATGTAGATTCTCTTTTCTTCTTGAGCCTGGCATACTCACAGCAAGAGTAAACGAAAATCAGTAAAGTCCTCGCCTAACTGCATATTTTCAACACTGTCATGCATGATGCGAAAAAGGACACGAAGTAGCATAGCAAAGTGAAACTCATATATGGCTATCTGAGCTGAGACTGAGCCTGAATCTTAAAGTAGAACGGACAGGAACAATACGAGCGTTTACGTAAATTAATGAAATTATCGTTGTTAAAGAGTCAGTAGTTGAGTAGTTTCAGATTTCACGGATCGTCTAACCTTGCGGAGAAGAAATGGTGTATATGTTTTGTATGATGTTGATTATGTCGAATGAATCATGATTGATGGACAATCATGGCATGTGATATCATCCATACTGAAATAGCGTGGTTGGTCTGCTGTATCGAAACACTTGTGGATATGGGTGCTTTATATCGTGCGGCACATAATTTTTCTGCTCCAGGTGATGTTGGGCTCGGGTGTTCGGAACCAAAGCTTCGTAGCGCCGGATCTACTTCTTTTGTTCATCTTCCGATGAGAAAAAAGAACTGAACGCGTTGATCAATAGAAATAAGAAGACTCCTGCAGGAAGATGCACATGCAGGTTAGGATCGAACTAGATGCTCATTCGTGAGGACAGTCCTGACTTGGAGGACTGATGTTTGCTCGTGCTCTGTGATGAAGCTCCCACCACGGTTGTGTGTCCTTCGGTCTCTTGACAACAATATTTTTAACGAGGAGAGGAGTGATTGTGATATGAAGTAGCATCAGAAGATGCAAAGCAAGCCAAAGTAGTTGCTTCTTGTGATGATGCTGATGTCCTGTTCTATTGCTAGCCCAGCATATTTCTCTTCGACTTCGAGGTTATTTTCGCGTAAAAAGACCGAACTTTCAACATTTACTAGGTCAAATAATCGCCGTCTATTCGCTTTTTGTTGCTCCCTTTTATCGTTTCTACTCTTCATTGAACAGCATCGAATCCGACTCTTACCAGTCTATTTTCAAAGTGCCCCGTGTGGGCTGCTCCATGTGGCGTACGCTGTCAGATTAACCTCTCGAACAACTCGCACTTCCAAGGCTGCGCCGACAAGGACAGGAACGGAACTGGTAGGCGGAGGACGTGAAAATTTATCTACAATTATCGAAAACACAGACCACATCACCACTTCGGAAAACATGCAACCACCAACGCTGTTGAAGCCCACGGGGTTGGGATGGAGCGTCACTACTAGCCCGCAGGGAGTGCCTGCATTGCAAGCAAGACCTAGCGCGGCGGCATCCAGCAGCGGGGGGCTCGTCGTGGGTGGGGCTACTACAAGCAGTTCCCCGCCTGGAGGAGTTCGAGTTGCGGCATCGTCGTCCTTAGGCTTCGCAAAAGTACTGAAGCTATTTCCACCGGTTTCGTTGATTTAGTGATATTGTCACCCGCTGCACCTACACCGGTGTCGTTGTTTTAGTGATAGATAATGTTACCTGCTGCTGCTGCATCTACATCAAACTTTTTCGATGTGCCTGAAGAAGAAGCGCCATTTTTGCACGGCTGAAGGCGTCAGGAAGAGTATGAGGCAGTCCATTTATCAAACACGACATGATGCAGCAGAGGGTCAAGCAAGTTTGTTGTCTTGAAGTGCATGGCGACTGTCGTGCCTGTGTTTTAAGTAAGTAGTACTTTTGCAGTGGGGCATACGCGACGTCGACAATATCTGCGCCGCCACCCATTGTCACCCCCGGCCTGGTGTCTCAAGTGTCGATTCCCCTTCGAACTTCCGTCTCGATCCAGCACGCCCCGCCGCCCGTCGGTCTTGGAGGGGTCCAGCGAGCAAGCATCCACTCTTTCGCCAGCCTGCAGACGGCGATCGCGACGGGTTCTGGGCCGGTTTTGGAGCACGTGCAGGAGCAGTTTCGAGACTTCAAGATAAAGTCAGACTTTTCGCATCCTAGGCAGCCCGGCGTGCCGAGTTTGAGTTACGGAACCGCGGGATTTCGCTCGAAAGCGGAAAACTTGGACGCTTGTCTCTTTCGGATGGGGGCGCTAGCGGTGCTACGAGCGAAGCAAACAGGCAAGGCGACCGGTAAGGGTCACTGCTGGAAGTTGGGAGAGTTTCGATTGATTAATAGCGATACAGAAATCTCGCGGTCATTATTGGAGATGCATGGCGCGCGATCCATGTTGAATTTAGTGTCAAAATAGAAGTCACCGGCGCGACGTCTGCTGCTTCTTTGTTTCGTGTTATGCAGACGAACAGCATGCTACGGCGCAGCATTTTTTTGACATCACGAATAGAAGTCAGCACACAGGAAAGAGAGTAGACTACATGACTAGCCATCACAACCGAATCTTTTTCGTTCTTTTCCGAACGAAAAGAAATTGTTTTGGTCAGGTATAATGGTGACCGCCAGTCACAACCCGGTCGAGGACAACGGGGTAAAACTAGTGGATCCCACGGGCGACATGCTAGCTCCGCATTTCGAACAGATCGCGACGACACTGTGCAACTGTCCCGAGGAACTGCTTACCGAACGGCTCGCGAGCATTTGCGATATGGAGAAGATCGACCTGGCGAAGCCCAGATTGAGTGCGGCGGCAAGCAGTGCGTCAATAGGGGGAGGGACGTCCCCGGCAACTTTCAACAGCTGCACGCCAGTTGTATCGAGAAAGAGCAGCAGTGCTCCCCCTCTTATCCTTAGCAAAAACGTCCCCACCCCAGAGTCAAGATGGGGACCACTCGGAATGAACACAAATGCATCCACATCCAGGCGTTTAAGGATTTGGCTGTTGCGCATGACCTCTGCGTAATCGTGCTTTTCTAGCGTAGCCGCATCGCAAATCTAGTGTCTCCTCCTGATTACTCAACAAGTAGAGCATGACAAAGTCCTAGACGGCGTTAGAAAATGCTCCTGATGTTGGGGCTGATCATGACAAACATTTCTTGAGGGTTGCAGATATGCATGACAAGAACTCTGAGGTGGGGACGTTTTTAGACGGGATGCTTCTGGTTTTCATCGGCTGCGACACGCGACCTTCTTCTCCCGCTTTGGCCCTTGCGGCGATCGTATTCATTGCATGCAAATATCTCTAGGACTGGAAGAATGCAAGTCCGTCGTGCTTTTGTCGAATGCATGAGCAGGATGAAAAAATAAAGCCTCTTGCAAATGAAAATACTGTGAAGTCATTGAAAAATGAAGTTTTCTCTTGGGGGAAGCGGAACACATAGATAAGGTGCTCAAAAACTTGCCACGCTTGGCTGCGTATTGTAGTGCGCCCATCCTTCACGACAGTTTAGCAGCTCAGGGTTCTCGACATCCGAGTATATTTGCAATGCATATATCGAGGGCGTGTCGGCGCTCGGGGGAACCCCGAAGTACGTAGGCTTGTGCACGACGCCGCAACTGCACTTCTACGTCCGGTGCTGGAACTCACCGAGTTACGGGGTACTTGCTTAGAATTACGACGTCTAGTAGTTTTTCTATTGCACGCTGTCCCGCCAGTCTGTTTCAATTTGCTCCTGCGGGACGATGAAGGTTGCTCGGTCCGTGATGATCGTTTTTTCAACATGAAGATAATCAAGAGCACCGCAAGTTGAAAGAACTTTTGTGGGCGCACGAGATTGAGATATAGTAGCCAAGTCTCGCTGCAGAACGATGATAAACAGAATAAAATTTTATAATTAGCCTATACCCACCTCGTAGGTCGCGGACGCCTGCGGGTATATCACGAAGCTGTCTTCCGCCTGGATCCGCTTTCGCTCCCTGGAGCAGGGCTGGATCGGCGGAGCTGCGACATATGCGAAGAAAAAAGTGGCACCATTGATACGCATTTCAATTTTTGCGGATTTATTCGCAACTGCTGCAATACTTCAGCTAGATCTGCAGGAGAAGAGAAGTCTGCAATTATGCGGGGATCAATCGAGAAGACATGCATAGCAACAGGCAGCTCAACGTCCTGAGCATCGTACGGATGACAGAGCTGGTCTGTGTTGCTTCTCCTTCTGCTTGCGGTTGCGCTGCATCACTGGAATGCGCCACAGCAGCTGCACCTCTTTCTTCGCATACGGCAGCCACGAGCGCCACCAGTGGGCGGAACACCGTGAATCGCACCAGCTTGCTGCCAAAAGGTTTCGCCGCGAGTAGCTCCCCGCAGGGAGATTCATCAGGGCTTCTCCAAGCGGAGCAGAGCAAGAGCTCCACGACCTCTGCCGCGTCGCAGTCGAGCAGCAACTATTGCCCCAAACTTTACATTGACGCTGCGAATGGAGTGGGAGCAAGAGTTATCGACCGGGCAGATGTTTGTATATGTAGTTTTGCATTAGCGCATGCGCGGCAGTGCTGCCAGAGGTGGGACTACGAGGTTCAGAAGAAGCATGTGCGTATAGCATTTTTACAATGCACACAGGCACTTTCTGAACCATTGCACAGGTAGATGAAATTGAAAGAACATAACGAGTAGGAGTAGATGAGTTCTTTCACGTAGAAGTACAAATCGCACAACACTGACGTTCAGTAGAAGTGCCTACGAGCGACTGCACACTTACTTCTGTCTTGCATACGACTGGTGCAGCTGTTCACGAAAGTTGGTCTCGCAGCGAACAATGGCGTTCTGCTCCCCGGGCTGGAGTATGCGTTGCACATTTGACGTCTTTGTCTGGGACTGAAAAACGGCACAAACATAGAAAAACTTCAACTTAGAATCGCACTTCATGATTCACAGGTCTGTGATGCGTATATTTTTATGGAACACTGCTAGCTGCGTCACCGTCAAGCGAACGCAAAAGAGCGGACTCTCTTCATGCGGAATGCGCAGCAAGGTCAAGGACAGCACACCAGCGAAAAATATTATCACGCCAGGCTGCGTGATAATGACATCTACCTATCGTGATCTACAGCTGTGGCATCAAAACAAGTTTCCAGGCCAAGACGAAATATTTGCAGTGCATAATGGCATTGAGCTTTTCAACGCGGGCGAAGGTGTTTTGAACAAGGACTGCGGCGCGGATTTCGTGAAGTCCAACCAACAGCCGTCGCAGAACCGCAAGGGCGACGGGAGATATGCCGCGTTCGACGGGGATGCAGATCGGCTCATCTACTACTCGTTGAGAAACGACAAATTCGCGCTGCTCGACGGCGACCGCATTGCTACTCTTTACGCGAAATTTCTGGGGCAGAAACTGGCGATCTGTGGGCTGGACCAGGTGTTGAAGATTGGCCTCGTGCAGACTGGGTACGCCAACGGAGCCTCGGTTGCCTACGGCGCGAGTGTTTTGAATGGCAAACCACCAATCCTGGCGAAGACGGGTGTGAAATTTTGCCACGAGAAAGCGATTATCCACTGCAAAGTGACATGCATTTTTCTGGGTCTGGAAGATGCAATTGACTGGCGTTCCTTCGTTCGTGCGTCGCAGAATAATCTGTCTTTACAACCTGTACACGGCCTGACGTTCTTTCGCGGGGCTTCTTGCCTCCAAAAAGGAAATTCACAACTACTCTTCATGTTGCGGTGCTTTGTCGCACTCGCAACATCCAAGCCACGCATCAAAAATCCAGACTGAGGCATGGGAATTTGTGATGCATAGCAAAGCAGCTCGATGTGGGCATCTACTTCGAAGCTAATGGGCACGGCACCATTGTGTTTTCGCAGAAGTTTGTCGATAGCGTCAATGGGATTGCGCTGCGAACGGCGTCGTTAAGAGACGTAATATCTAAATAAACGCACATATTACACTACCATATGCACTTCCCTCCGGCTATTTTTGGAGGCGTTTAGGTTACTTTGCAGTATAAACGCTCATGAAGTACCACTAGACACTTGCTACAGCAAAATATGCGCGTGAAGATAATTGTTTTTCCCGAGCTGATCGTGTTCCTCTTCCTACAACAGTGTCAACATCTCTACTACTACTCGGTGAAGATACCAGCAAGAAACTATTTATTTCGTTTGTTTCTCAAAAATAAACAGGCCGCCCACCGCGCCGCGCAGCACTTGCTGGCTTTTCGAGATCTGATCAACGAGTCTGTGGGCGATGCGTTTTCTGACTTGCTGGGCGTCGAGGCCATTCTGCGGCATTACGGGTGGAGTGAAGAAGACTGGCTGGCACAGTACACGGATCTTCCCAACCGGTTGGCCAAGGTGCTGGTGGAGGACCGCGCGGTTTTGAAAACCGAAGAGGACGACGAAACCAAGGTGGTGCAGCCGCTGGGACTGCAGCATGCGATAAACGAGGCGATGCAGGCAGTCGGTAAGGGTCGGGCCTTCGCCCGTCCGAGCGGCACGGAAGACGTGATTCGGGTGTACGCGGAAGCAGCGACGGAGCTATCAAATACAAATAGGCTTGGTCGGTTTGGAAGTAGAGTGTACGTGTTTGTCATGCACCCCGTGCAACACGGAGACGAGACGGACGGGAAACAAACGAGCCATGGCTTTGAATGGATGCATGCAAAAGCGTTTTTTACAGGTTCATGGGTTTATCAATAAATTTTCCCCGCTTCTTGGTTGGAAACTTGCTCTGTGCGTAGCAGGAAGGGGGCGGGTTTTGGCGGTCACGCAACCCAGGTTTTAGTGTGACCCAGACTGCGGCTCTGCAGATTGATGTATGGTGTGTAGCGAAGGTCCAGACTGACTTCGCACCACAATTTTGCCTCTTTCCAAACGCAGACATATTCGCAATGCATAGAGACTCGAGGCAGATAAGTTGCTCGGGCAGGTGTCGTATCAACATTGCAAACCTATCGCGCGTGGTGTGTAAATTGTGTACAACAATGACTTTAAACGATTGATTTCATAGTATGCATGAAGTCGCTCGCGTGAAGTTGAATTTGTGACGATGATTGAAGAATAGCCACAGGAAAATAGAGCACTGTAATGCACTATGAAGAATATCGTGTCAAGTTATAATGCGTGCGAATTGTGACCGCGAACGCGATAGCACGTTCGTACTGGATACGTCACAGCTGGTTCGGGAGTACTGCAATTCCAAAGTTCTGGCGACAACTTCTTCTGGCTCGAAGTGAGGAACCAAGGACGATGGAGGAGTCGGATCCTCGGGGAAAGAAATCTATTGGAGCGAATTCATTCATTGCATGCCAGCGCTGGAAGAATCTTCGAATTTGAACTGATACTGAAGTCACATCCTTTCGGTTTTTTCAAAAACACGTTTGCCCCACCGATAATCAGTCTTAGACGAAAACTGGAATTTCTACACCCAAGCCGCAAAATAAAGCAAAGGTAAAAGTAGTTCTTCTTTGCACGACCAAGCCGCTTCTATACACTTTCCTTAAAATAATTCTCTTTTTTGATGATGTACAAGCCTGCTCGAAAGACGAATATGTTGAAATAAAAATTTCTCTTCTCCATTGAATAAACCTTAAAGCAAATAACCGAGGATACACATGCACTATACACGAGCACCAGCACGAGTTCGAACTCACGGCAAAACCCGAGCCTAGCTCAGCAGGACCTTCCCGATACCATTGCGCAGAGAATCGATGACGAAAGCATGAGAAAGATGGCACAAATTCATCTTGGCGTGCCGCAGAGTGTAGTTCAGCCTTCGGTTGTTCGGTTCTTCGTGGTGATGCGGGCGCCGACCGCTTTTGCTCGCGGGACTTTGTGTGCTCACACGTAGGCAGCACCGGATTTGTTTTCTGTATTTTGTTCAAACGGCCAAAACTCGCTCAATCTACTTGTTGTCTTCATTCGGTTTGCCAATTGGAAAAAGAGTACACTACACTTTTCTCATCCGATGCATATCAAGAGAAGCTACAGACTGGGTCATCATGAAGCTCGTTCTCACAAACCCCTGTTCTGCCGTCCCCGCGCCGAAGAGCCGTACAGCGGCTGTTGTGTTCCTGCACTCTTCGGGTAGTAGTTGCAGCAGTTCTTCCAGTCGTGGTGCACTGTTTCGTGCGCCCCCTTTATTATCATGCCCAACAACATCTATTTCCGCCGAGCAGGGCACCTCCAAGCCCGCAACTTGTACGACGTACCACAACCTGCAGGGAAAGCGGTTTGTGCGGTCCCAGGGGTACCGGTGTCACCGCCTGTACCGGTACACGGGTATCCGGCCGATTCGTTGCGAAACCCCGCGGTCGGATTGGCAGATTGCGCGCGAGCGGGAGTTTCTGAAGCAGCGGAGCGTGGTGCCCCTGAGTAGCATGAAGCAGGACGTGGAGGGGAACCCGATTTCCGTGACGAACTACGTGAAAGAGCTGACGGAGGACGACGTGCACCAGCTCCCGACGCACGTCAAAGATCTGCTCACGCTGGAAACCGCTTCCTCGAGAGAACTCCACCAGTTTCGCAAGCGGTGCCTGGTGCGGAAGTTCCAAGTGTCGCCCTTCGACACGAACTCCCCCGCCGTGCGGATCGCCTGCCTGACGGAGATATCAAATGCGAAAGTGTCTGGGTCTGGAACAGAGCAACTTGTCTTGCTAAATCTGAATCGTGTAAAAATCTGTGTTGCATGATTGCCAAAAGCTGTCCACTTTTGACCTAATCGCGAGGCAGTTTCTCATGCAGGATAGGCATGATAGAACTCTCACAGAATCTGTCATGCTCTGTCCTACATGCCAGACCTCATGGGTCATGGAAAACCTGCATGACAGGTCTGGCATTCTTCCAGACCCAGACACATTTGCTTTTGATAGGAGAAAATCCTGAACCTGCGCGCGCACATGATCCGCACCCGGAAGGACTCCATGGCGAGACGGGTGATGACCCTGCTGTTGTTATCATATGTAAAAACGTCCCCGCCCCAGAGTCAAGTTGGGAACTTAGCAACACAAATGCAGAAGTTCTGGGAGCCACGCATGACAAGTTGCACTCCGTAGTGTAGTGCATGTTAGCAAGGACAACAGCATCACAAATCCATCTTTCTGCTCATCCTGTTTACAGCATCACAACTTCCAGAACACGATTGGAAATGCCTCTCATACTCATGAGGATGCGCATTACAAATCTTCCTGTGACTGCAAATCTGCATGACAACTAGGGGGTTGGGGACGTTTTTACTCAGGATAGTTGTCGCGAAGGATGAAGGTGATGAAGGCGCTGTACAAATCGGACTTTTTGCTGTACAAGTATGTCTGCGAGGAGCTGAGCATCCGTTTGGTGCGGTTCGCAATCCTATCAAATGCAAAAATGTCTGGGTCTGGAAGATTGCCAGGTTTGTCATGCATATTTTGAATGACCCTTGATGTCCGTGATGCATGCCCTAGCATCACAGATTTTTAGAGGACTTTGGGATGCCTCTACCGCATGAGAAATGCCCTTTCCACGTAGCACAAACTGGAGTCCTTTTGCTGGTCATGCAATACATTATTTTTTAGAATCCAGAGACAGCATTACAAGTTTAGAATCTTCCAGACCCAGACATTTTTACATTTGATAAATCCCCGAGTACCGGGATCCGTCGCGCATGGTGGCGCCGATGGGCATCGACGGGGACAAGTGCAAGTGGTTGATTCGCCAGAAGCTGTACAAAAAGAAGAACATGCCGCGGATGTTCATGGACGCGACCAAGAGCATGACCGGGTGGCGTGCGAGCACGTTGGTCCGGCACACGCACCACCCCATCGAGCCGGTGCCGGAGGATTTCGGCAAAGCCGCGAAGATCAGCCCGCAGCAGGTTAGCCCCCACTTCCCCTACGGGGTGCGGGGGGACAGGGTCCGAGGAGACGGCATTCTGCACAATCCGACCGAACCCGGCCCGGGTCACCAGCCGGCAAGGATGCTGTAGAAAGTCTGCACTGGTTTCGACTTGTTGTCTACTTACTCATTCTCGCTGATTATATCGGAGGTATTTATTAGCTACTGTTGTATGTTTCTGCGATAGCTGAGTACTATCATTAGAATTCCGCAGTCTGGTCCATTTGTACTGTACTTTTTTCATTTTCCACGACCGGAGGAGGTGTTGTACCAAAGGACTTCATGTGGATTGTTTTCTGGTCGCTATAGTGTTCCTGCGGCCTCCTGGATAAGTGCAACACGGGAATATAGATGTTACGTGCCGGCGCTCGCTTCCTAAATATACATATAGCTACTTGGCTTGTTGACAATAAATTCATTTCACCAGCAGGTGCCGCTCGCCCTGGTGGTCATGCTCAACATGGTTCGTTGTGTTTTTGATTTTGCGACAAATGATCATCGGGAAGGCAATCTTGATCCTCCATTTTCGAGCAAAATCAGTGCAAATCTAATCGCTCAGTAGCAAGCAGAAATAGTCAGAGAAAGAGTTATTTGTCTTTTTTCAATGGTTGTAGGAAAAGTGGTTTTAGTTGTTGTCTTTTTTCACAGGCTTTCGAAGCAGGGATTTTTCTTGAAATAGCGCTAGAGAAAAAAGGTGTGTAAACGCGGTCCCACCTTCCCGCATGAGAACAAACAAACAAACATCATCGGGAAGGCAATCTTTTTCAACGTGATCTGGTCGTGCAAAGATTTTGTAGTATTCCCTAAGGAGGAATGGTTTGTGGACAAAAAGTTCCGAATGAAGTAATTATGATTCTTGTGGACGAGATGCGCTACGTACAGGCGATTCTGACGATCGATCCCTTTTTGTTGCTGTCCATTATTTCCACTGAAAGTCGCACTCTGTCTCATCCGCAACAAAACTTAGATCAGCAAAAATAGGTTCAGATGACGTTCGTATCCCATTGATCATTTGTGTTTCACAATTACAGCGACCGCGACAGACGACAAGGTTTAGCTTTTCTAACTGCGAACATCGTTGTCAAGTATTTTATTACTTTCCTAACAATTCGACGGAAATATGCAGTAGCTAGACAGTGACAGCCGAACAAGTCGAAAAATATTTTTCCGTGTTTCACATCCATTTGGTCAAATATTTTGCGCAAGCGGAAGCACCGACTATCTCGTGTCACGAGACGACGGAAAAAAAATGGCGCCTCCTGTGTCACAACCGGTCGCCTCGACGACTCGCGACTCCTTTCTCAACGCCGTGGAGAACTGTACGGACGGAAATGTGTTGGTTCGCGCGTTCCCGGTGCTCTTCCGCCAAGCGGGGTCGGAACAAGATGTTTTTCTCGCAAAGTTGAAGGATCTGTTGAAGGAGGTGAATTTTCCCGACCAGGCCATGGCGCTGGCAACGAACAGCATCACTCCGCGGTCAGCAACCAATAGCAGCGCCAAGCTTCCGTTTGGAGCGGCACTAGCGAACGGCGGTGGTACTACAACTGCGACCACTTCTGGTGCCGTAGCTAACGGGACGAGTTCCGCGACCGCAAACGGGCCGTCTACAGCTGGCACAGCGCCGAACTCGGAGATGAGCGCAGTGGCGCCAGCCGCGGAGCCGCCGGCGAAACGGGCCAAGCTGGATATGATGCGCACCTTAACCAGTTTGTCGGCTGCGAGCACTAAAGTGGGCCATCAAAACGACCTCCTTCAGACCGCAGCCGCACCGACGAACCAGCGCCGGGAACACCATACCACGTCCAAAGGTGAGGGTCATGGAGTGCCTACAACGACCTCAGCAAGTACTACAACTTCTTCTGCGACAAATAAAGACCACAACACACTGTACGTGTGCAACATTCTGTACACGGTGGACGAGGCGCAGCTGCAACATTTCTTCGAGACCGAGCAGGGTTGTGCGGTGAAGTTCTTGTCTTTGTACAAGACCCCTGCGGGGAAGTCGAAGGGCAGTGCGAAGTTGGTGGTCGGTTCAAAGGAGGAGTTCGAGAAGTGCTTGAAGCTGAACAGCACGGAGCAGTTCGGCATGAAGATGTATGTGCGAGATTTCTTCGCGCACCACGACAATGCCAGTGCTGGTTCATCTTCTGCTTCTACGACCGGCGGCGTGGCCGCTGGTGCACCTTTGTCGACAAGTGGTGGAGCAACTACGAACCCTGGCGGGACAACGACATCTTCGGTGTTGAACAAGCCGTCCGTCGTGGTGAAAAATCTCGCTTTTGCGGCGAGTGAAGCGAACCTCGGGGAACTGTTTGCCGGGGTCGGCGAAATTGCAGCCGTCCGGATCGCGCGCAACGCGAATGGGAAGCCGGCGGGCTTCGCCGTGGTGGAGTTTACGCACGAAGGCGCCGTGCAGAAGGCACTGCTGAAGTCTGGGCAGAATATCAAGAATCGCCCGGTGCGGGTGGAGTTGGCGCACGGCAGCAGTTATGCATCAGAAGTGTGCTGTCCTCGCCGGGGTCTGGACCTTCAATGCCGATGTTTGATATGTAGATTTTCTTGCAGAGCCCGCGTTCGTGAGCCGTGGGGTGTATCGTGTATGCAGCTGTAGCATGATCACGTACAGGTTACTACTTCGTGATGACGTCTTTGTGTCTAGCCTGTATGTTGATAAATTGCGTAGGTCTCCCCGCGTGGCACAAACTGGCTCGTCGCTCTCGCTCCTCGTGCAATACAGATTATTGCACCATCTAGAATGTGCAAGAACAGATTTTCAGGCCCAGAGGACATTATATTTCTACTGCATAGTAGTACTTCTACGAGTAGCGTGGCGGCGGCTGTCGGAAGTAACATCAAGGGTGCTCCTGCGAAAGGGAAAGGAAAGACTGGCTTAGGTGGGAAGAACACAAAGGGCACCAGCAGTGCTTCTTTAGCCGACAAGCTTTCGGCTTTGGACAGCAGCACGACCGCGATGAATGTTGATCCTGCGGCGGCCCGCTCCTCTGCAGTTGCTGACGTGGTCGAGGAGGACGACAAGAAGAACGACACGGACGAAACAGCAGGGGGCTCCTCCGGCACCTCCACAGTTGGCACAACAGCTGGTGCTACTACAGCACCACATCCGGCAGACCAGGCACTAGATCTTCCGAAGGCCTCCTTGTCGTCGATGTTCTGCAAGCAGGCGGCGGACGTGACATGGGAGAAGCTGGTCAACCACCTGGTTTCCAAGGACAAGTTTCCGGACGAGGAAAGTTTAAAGAGTGCGGTCTCCGACGCAGACACGAAATCCTGGCTTTCCGCCGTGGGGCTGAAGTGTGGCGGAACCGCGGAGGAACGCGTGCAGCGACTGTGCAAGGCCAGGGAGTTCGCGACCTTCGAGGACGCACCGAACACACTGAAGGCGCCGCCGGCGAAGATCAAAACGAAGAAGCCGGAGAGTTTGCCGGAAAAGAAGAAGTGAGGGGAAAAGATAATACGGAGGAAAGTTAGTAGTGGCTCGCCGCCCACGCCAGCCTGGAAGATGAGGAACTGAGTGAGTGTAGTGCTGGATGATGACTTCCACATGGAACAACTGACGTCATATACGGAAAACTGAATGTCTTGAACAAGAGCGCACGACTTTGACATTTTTTCGTTATGCGTATCATGTTAGTCGTATATTGCTTTTCGCTCCGGCAGTTCGCTCCGGCTACAGTGATCTACCTAAACTTCATGTTTGATTTTACATTGCAATATATTGCTTTTCGAAATCAAGCGGCACCGCATGCACATGCAGGCACTCGATGTCGGCGCTGCATCTATGTCATAAAGTTCGCTAGCAAGCGAAAACGAATCCGGTGCAGTAAGTTTTTTTCGTGGCTCGTCGTGTTCTCAATCTCATAAAGCTACTTAAGTAATGCGCTGAGCTGCACTCGCGCTCCTCGTCCTCCTGTTGACTTTGAGTGCGGATGCAGAGGGAGTTTTCGTGGCAGAAAAGACACTGTGTCCTGCGCTGCGCAAAAAAGTCGCCGTTCCATGATTAACGAGAGTCCACCGCGCGCAGCCACCAGGGTTTTGGTGCGCACGGTTTAGCCGCAGGTTTCTGATACGAAATCGAAGCACTGTCGGGTTCTTACTGCAGCGTTATTTCTGATTACGAGCGAGGGACGTTCGTTGCGTTCGTAGAGTTGTGTGCAGGGTTAGCAGCTAGTGGAACTGGGACACGACTGACCTAAGTATTTAAAGACTGCGAGGAGTGCAGCAGGAAGAGCATTCTTACTGCGTCCAGCAGCTGCGGTGGCTGCAACTGCAAGTATGGCAGCAACGCAAGGCAAAGCCGATTCGTGGGGCGAACACAGCCAGACACGTAACATGGCTCCCGCAGCGCACCATGAAGAAGGGCGAAGACTACAAGAATCTTCGGAGCTCGACGGAGCGACACGGCACCACAAACGGCGGGCACTCTCCTTTCTTTCGCTGCACCTCTTGTTCGCGGCTGCTGCAGTGCTAACTACCGGCCTACGAGTACTCACTGGAGATAACGGGCACCAACCGCGTGATGTGATCGCTTGGTTCGCTGCCCCTTTGGCGCTACTGGGCGGCGGTATAGTTCTTGCTCTCTCACGGATCCGCGCAACGTCCGCGCATGATGAATTTCCTGGGGAAGCGGCGAGTGCGGTGTATCCTCGAGCGGTGCCAAGTCTGCTGCTTCTCGCGGTAAGAAGCAGAGCGAGCACATGTTTGAGGCGCATAGGTCGAGGCAGTCGAGGTCGACCACTGGCTCCTGCATTTTTTTCCGTCTGACGCTACTTCAACATGAATTAAAATTATTGTCTCTGTTCTTGCTGTAGCAGATTCGCTGTTGGATGCAACCAGCAACATCAGCTGCATGAGAAGTTCTAGTTCAGGCATCAAATCTTCCTCTGATTGAGAGTTCATCATTAACAAATCAGGCGACCGTTCTGGCCGTAGCAGCGTCGATTTTTGGTGAAGCAGCAGTGCTGATCGGGACTGTTGCAGCCTTTCTGTTTCCGATCGGGGAGTTGGTTGAATGTTGCGCGGTGCCTACTAAGTCGAATAATGTCTGCAGCTAAAAAAATCATATTCAAGAGAAAAACTGTGTAAGTGTAAATCTGTGATGCAGAAAATGCAACACAGTTACACTTGTCATGCTGGATCTGCTACATAGCCATGCTGCATACTTGTTTCACGTATTAAGTGCGCTTGACAGGGTGTTTCTGTAAGTGCAAAACGAATTTTTGATGCTGCCCTGCCTACAAAGTTACACTTACACAGTTTTTTTCCTGGATAAATCAAAATGTTGTTTTTGACACACTACAGAGCGAGGCTTTTTCTTGGGTGTTTGTTATCGTGCTCAATCGTATAGAACGAAAAAAATCTTGATGCCCGGCGTGCGGGCTGACTCTCTCAGGCTCTTGGGCGTGTGCCCCCCTGCACCTGTTGCGCGAAGGCACAGGCCGCCATGTGGAATTACACATTGCCACTTTTTGCGCCACGTCTTGGGTCAACTTTGTGGCCCGAAGCACAAATCTGAACCCCTGCATCAGCAGCATGCCGTGCTGTGAGGGTTCAGATTTGTGATGCAAAACGTGGCTTTCCGGAAAACGTCTGCACCTCGGCCACTGAGGTCCCCGAGTGGAGGTGCAGACGTTTTCCGGAAGGGGGGGGGGAAAGTGGGGCTCATAGGTCGTGTTTGTCTGCGCTCCGGAAAACGTCTGCACCTCCGAGATTGGCCTCCAGATGAGGCGTCCTCGGACACCTCTTCGGAGTCGTCCCGAGTCGAGGACCTCCGGGGCGACAAATTGCGGCCGCCCTTTTCGCAGGGTCCGACCTGTATCGAGCTCAATGCGCAGGCAAAAGCCTGCAATTTGAGCTCATCCCCGAGTCGACCTTCTCCGAGGCCACTTTTTTTGGACTAGAATTGCACCTCGCGCGGGGTCTTCGAACAAACGACGCAGGAATGGAGCGCAGCACCTCGGTCAAGTTCCCCAGCACGGAGTCCACGGCGCTCGCAAGCGGGCTGCAGTCCGGGCGAGAAGAGAAGAACAGAAACTGCACTATCAAAAATTTTGATTTTTTTTGCTGCAGACATTTTTCCACTTAGTATTGCCACGAGGGGACTTGGTTGAATGTTGCGCGGTGCCGCGAGAACATCAACAAAAAAACCGATCCGCAATCCTTCATCTCCTACAGCTGTTCGCAATTGCCGCATACCTACCGGCGGTATTTTTCTCGACGGCGCTCGTGCTTCAGAGCGCCTTCTCGAGTAGCACATCAGCGACGGCGATTGAAAAGAGTGCCGTGGTTGCAGTCTGCGTGTTCTGCGCCAACATTTTCCGCGTGATGCAGAGGGCCGGGTCGCTGGCTACTGACTTGAGCATGCTCCTCCGGTCTCTCTTTTTAAAAAAAAGGAGCGGATGCGGAAACAGCGGCAAACAGAGTGTGCCGGAGAGCGCGAAGGACGAGAGCAGACTATTCACAGTCGTCGCACCAACCGGGACTACATCAAGTACAGCCAATTTGACAAGCAGCTCCATAGAATCGCCAGCGAGCCGCATGATGGAGTCAGATGCAGCCGTGTCGCTGTGGCTATCCAACAAGCCGGCTCCTCCCGTACTGCTCGGAAACGGTTTGCTTTTGAGTTCCATCCTGACGTACCACCTCTGGTTGCTGCTGGAGCTCGCAACGCCGGAAGAGAAGCAAGGTTTTGTGACTCGTATTTCAACCATCACGCTCGTCTCGACCGCGCTGATAGCCCTTGTTGATGGCTTATTTTTTTCCCGGACTGCCGTCGGTAAGAACTTCGTCTTCGAGCATGATGGTGTGGCTATACCGTCAAGGCTGCACAACTCGCCACCTTCTTCTACTGGACTCTTGCTGCTCGTACAAGCCGTCGCCATGGGAAGCCTGTGGACTTCCGGCATGCGGGAAAAGACCGGTGTTTTGCTGCTGGTCTTCATGCTGCAAGTGTACGGCGCTAGTAGACCCGCACCCGCGCGTCTGACAGGGACCACGTCGAACGAAAGTGGCGATGGAGCTCTAGAAGCCGCTTTTTCATCAAATACGAGCAGCGCCGCTGCACTTGCTGCTGTCATATCATCGGACGACCAGCAAACGTCGCAGCATTTGTTTCTGGTAGCCAAATCGCGATTCCTGCGCTACCCGGTCCTGCTGCTCTTTTTCATCCTTGCAGCGGGTGACTACGGCGGGCTTCTGCTCGACGCAGTCGCCGTGCTTTTTTCGTCCAGACCCTTTGCGGAGAATTGTCTGCAGTTGCTGGCCGCGATCAGAGCAGGAGTTTTTACAGGCACTGCTGCCCAGTTTCATCTGTACGACGAAAGTATGAGAATGGCTGTGAAGAAAGGATGCCAGCAAGAACCCGCAGCGTCCGGCGGCAGGAGCGGGAGTCGGGCAGACGGGTTGCGAGGATCTGCGCCGCCCACGGATATTCGAGCGATTTCCAAGGATTTGGAGCGCGGGGAAGGAGGGCACCTGGGCATGAAGACCTTGCTGGAACAAGTCGACCAGGACGGGCAGTTTGTAGCAGCAGGATCGTCGCACGGATCTTCACGGGCTGCAGCAGTTTCTGGAGCAGGGCACGTCAAGAATTATTGTTCTTCTAGTATACAACAGCATCAAGGGATGAAAGCCGCAACCGCAACCTCCGTTACGGGCCTGCGCGACATTGTCAGCCTGAAGTCAATATCAAATGTAAAAGTGTCTGGGTCTGGAAGAGTGCATGTTTGTCATGCTTGTCTGGGATGACTCATAAATCTGTCATGGACCACGTTATCCAAGAGCTCCATTTTTCTGTGATGCAGAAACGCAGTTTTTCATGCAGAATAGGCAAAACCTAGAAGCTCAGAAACTTGTGATGCTGAGCCAGCATTTGTGGCCTCATCATGAGACGCCACCCAGCATCACAAGTTTCCAGACTCAGACATTTTTACATTTGATAGTCAACGTCTATCGCGAACACCTCCGGGACTGCTCTGGCAGGGGACCGAATGGATGGTGCACATGAAAGTACTGCAGGCGAACTAGAAGCGCAAGGCTTGAACATCAAGGATGGAAGCGAGAACTCTACCGCGAACAACTCTGAGACCAATGCAACGAGTCTGCCAGCGGTGCCGCGAGGAACTTCGGAAGAAGATGACACTACAACTCGCGGCGGTCTGCAGAGCGAAAACGTGGTCGAAGCAGAAGCTGTGGGGTCAGCATCCTCCTGGGTGCAGAGTGCGTCTAAGAACCATATGAATACCAATTATACAGTACTCAGAGAAAAACTGTGATACAGAAAAAAATTTGAAATTTTGACTCGAACCAACGGTGGGGATGCGAGTAAAGTAATTTGCATTTGGATGACAAAGCATCCTCGCAAAGTTGTCAGCTAGGTGTCGTCTTCGGAAGACGAAAAGCGGCGCTGACGATGACCGGGGCGGCGGCGGTACCTGTGCGTTTTGGCTGCGACATGATCCTCTGGTCCAACGCCGCGGTGAGTTTTTGCTTAGTAAAATCATTGACGTAGCTACCGCAAAATACTATAGATAATATCATACGGAATGCGCTATTTTGAACTAGTTAAAGCGTAGAATATAGCTACTAATCTGCCTGAAATGCAACTATTCTAGCTCCTAACTAAGGGAGTCGGTTTAGATAGTCCCAAGCAGCTGGTGGCGTCGAATATCGGCATCAGATCTGGAGCCAGCACCGTCCTATAGCAGCCCCTTAGTGCCCATGTTGCACCATCTATGGTGCAACAAGGGCACTTCCTACCCTAGTACCGACCTGTATACGCGAATATGCAGCATTTTTGGGCTTCCGATGCCTCCTCATCCGGCTAGTTGAAAACTCCCTTAGTTGCGTGCTAAAATAGTTGCATTTCAGGCATTTATCTATTGCTAAACTACTTTAGCCAGCTAGCTAGTTAACCTATTATCAAAATCAATGAAATGCATTCTAAAATCATAGAAGCAAGGTCATCTAGAAGCGACCACGCCGGCTCCGCGCAGTGGTCCCGGAATCTAAGCCACCACCTGCCGCGGCTGCTATCGCTGCAGCCGGAAAACGACCACACTCATCACCTTGACCACCTACTTACCTGTTCTCGGCGCCACTTGCGGCATATCTGCAACTGCAAGTTGTGTCAGTAGCCGCGCCCAAATGCTGCTCTTTTCGGCGACACAAAATTTCAAATTTTTTTCTGTATCACAGTTTTTCCCTGAGTATACAGCATCGCCACCTGCTTTGAGTACTAATGCGGTGTCTGCAGCAGTCGAAGGGAGCGAGGAGAAAGAGCGGTCACGGCCCCTAACGCCGGTTGACACGCAGGTAATTGTTGTTGGTGCCAAGATGGCCCACAAGAACGGTGGCGCAAGCTGCACCGTTACTTCGGCGGAAAGCGTAGATACTACGACCGAAAAGAAAACTACTGCCCCAAGAACAGGGGTAGAGCAGTCAGAGGACTTTACGTCGAAAGAACCGCAAGGGCAGAACAGCCTCGTCGTGGTGGAAAATGATCAGAAAGACGAAGAGACCTCTCACTCAGCACCCCCTTCGACAAATAAAGACGAGGAGCAGAAGCAGAAAGATGCAAGCGAACAGCGGCGGAAGAGTATCATCGAAGACAAGTGGCAGGAAGTCTCGAGAAAACGACCATCTGCGATTACCACGAACGATTTGCACGAAAGCCGGCGGCGCAGCATCAAAAAAAGCAACAGCTCCGATGCGATTGTGACGGGCAGTCCGAGAAATAGTAGTATTCCATCATCCCAACAAGCTGAAAATAAGCACGGAGGAAACAATATCGTGCCGCGGAGCCCCGGCGGGGGACTTACAACATCAATCGGCACGTTAGCCGCGGACAATTCTTTTCCGAGCAAGAGTGGCGGCGCGGCCACGAGGACAGCGCAGCAGGACGGCAAGGCGATGGGTAGTTCTTCGGGAACCAACGGCAACGGTTTCCGGCAGTTTCAGCTTTCGAAAAAGTCCACCGTCGAAACGTCCACCTTCCAGCGGAACCCGGCGTCGAAACTGCTGAACCCGGCCGAGATGGACCGGAAACGGCCGCGGGCGAAGTCCTTCTCCGGCGGACTTCCGGGTCTGGCGCCCGGTATGGCCCTGTCGCCGGACGGGACCATCATCCAGGCAACGTCGGTGGTTGTGGACGAGACGGCGCCGGATTTTCAAAATGCCGACGAGGAGCCGGACGAAAAGAAGCCCATCGCAGCGAACGCGCTGCATGAGGCGCTCCTCTGGAACCAGATCCGCAAGGGGTCGGTGCTCGGTATGACGTTTGCAAGCGTGACATAGGTTGCTTGCCACACGATTTGTCATGCAAAATCGGTCACCTTTAGTGTTAGTCTCCATTCCACGCTCACACGATCATGCTACTGCGTGTGAAAAATTCTCAAAGCGCCCCCAAGCAGCATGGCAATCCGTAATTTGTACATGCAATTGCAAAACGCGCAGACTTCCCACTCTCGCTTTTGCTATTCACATTGATCTTGCGTCACAAATTATTATTCGTGTAACCGCTGTCAATGCAACGCTTTAGAGCGCCACACTCGGCGCACCAATCGACTTGGAGCGGTTCAACGAGTATCCGACAGGAAAAAACTGTACTGGTTGTGTAATACTAATAACTCTACCTTTGCACACCGACCCTAACAGCAGCACAAACAACGTGCATTTTTAGTAAGTAGACAGGGCGCCACCTGTGAGAAACCTCTGACGTTATTGCGTCATGATTTGACGTGTGTAAAGCAAGCAGAAACAAAACAAGCAAAGTTAAAGGAAAACGAAGACGACGAATGATACTTGAATAGGGGTCGCGCTGGTCATCTCTGTCAGCATGTAGTCGAGCATGACAGAAAACTGTGTCTTCAACAAGGAACTTCCGCCATACAAGTTTTTCCGTGCGATGACCTGCTGCAGGAGTTCAGTGCGCGTAACTCCCCCAACATCGCGGCTTCCATTGCCGCTTCGATCGCTGCCTCGCCATTTGAGAGTCGGGTAATGTCACCCTCGCGGTCCGCGCACGCGACGCCCCCAAACGAGGCCGACGACGGCGTGCAGGCCACGATGTCCTTGAAGACCGGTATGGCCACCGACCGCGCGGAACTGACCGTGGCGCAGGCCATGTCGTTGGAGGCGCAGGGGGCGCAGGGGCTGGGTGCCGCGGGAGACCAGCCAAATGGTAGAATCAAAATGGTGGAATTCATAGAGTTTAAAATTCGGTATACTTTTTTTTTTCTGCCACAAGTACTAGGAGCGCAAAGCCGTCGAGCGCTCAGCATGCCCCACGTGTACAGTCTGTCCGCATCCTGAAATGTAGCTTGGTGTTGAAGGCAGTAAGTTGTATGGAGAGGTTTTCTATTTTCACTTAATCGACGTGGTCCAAGAATTCTTGTTCTCCTGCACCACTGAACTACAGGCAGCCCAACTTCCGCAGAGGGCACGAAGAAGAAGAACGCACTGGCCGTGCAGTTTGGAGAGGCAGAGGTACGTTCGCGGAAGCCGTCGTCGGCTTCCATTGCGGGCGTGGCGCAGCCGGTGCGGCCGGGAAATGTGTGTACGTCGCTAGCGTCGTCGGCGCAAAGCAGCGCGGCTGTGAGCATGTACTTACTTGCATAGAGCAGTAGAACGTGTTGCTTTTGGTTTGGTCGTTTCGTAGACGATACTTCGTTTTTTATTGTATAGCGGATCATGTAGACCGAAGCCAGGTGTTGAGGAACGAGCTGTGCTGGTGTTGTCATGTACGTAGCTTCCTCGATGATCCGATCGATGAGCATCGTCTTACGTGGAAATGAAAATGATCAAGCCTACATACGCTACAAAGTTCCTCGTTGCTGACCCAGAGGTTGCTGGCCCAGATAATGCATAAGGAGCAACTCTCGCAAAAATTTTTTGCCGTCTTGGACGAAACAGGTATCCTTCCGCCGGCAATTCGATGCATATGAGGGTGCACATCAACTTCTGGCACCCCAAGCAGCACTACAATCCATATGTAGATGTGTCATGCGGAAGCTGCTGTGCTACTGCAACTTCTGTTCCTGCTGTGGCTGTACTAGATGTCAAGATGCAATAAATGAGGAGGCGGGAAGTTTTAAAAATGCGCTCTCATACTGCACGGCAGCCGACGCCAGTCACAATATACGCCGGCGAAGAGCCCGAACCGCGCCACGTTGCGACGCACGGACACGGCGGAGGTGAGTGCCCTTGGCGCGGGTCTGCTACTCCTGGACGGAATGCGCGAGGAGGGCGACTCGGACGACAGCTATGCTCAGTGAAAACGTCCCGATGTTCCCATATCATTTTATAGACACATCCACCCTGGTAGATCCTTTTCGTGGAGTGACTGGAGGGAGTTTCCCCCCGTCCGTTTGTGTATATGGGCTGGCAGATCCCTAGAAGCTAATGCCTGGAGTTGTTGGTCTTCCGCCCCTCTGAGTGGGGTTGGGGAAGGAGCCAACGCGGACGTAGTCCGCAGGATTCGCTGGATATTTTGCTTTGTGATGGATTAAAGTCGTTTTCGCGTTCTAATGAATGGTAGCTCATGTGCTCTGAGTGCACCGCAGTGCCATTCCACCATTGAGGGTGCTTCCCAGCGGGGAAGGGGGATTTTGTAATGAGTGGTAGCTCATGTTGTGCTCTGAGTACACCGCAGTGCCATCTTTAGGATTTTCTTTAGGAGGCAACGGCCGCTCGGATACCTCGCGGACGGTCCTTGTTGTGCGGGTCTTGTCCGTCCCCTTGGTGGATTATTCACTCCCTGCCAGCAGGGCCTGGGTGCTCTCGGCTATACGTCGCGGTCAGCGTCTTCGGCTGCTTTTGCTGGCCTTGCTCCCCTAGAGGGGGGAACGGGATGTCCCGGGAGGGGGCTGCGGTGAGGTGGTGTCTCGGTACTTGTGGCCGGGGGGTTGCGACGCCTTGCTGCTATACTGGAAAAGGTTTTGATTACCCGGCGCGTGGCCTTCTCTTAGGTAATTGTTCTGGTGGAAGGGAAATAGGAGGCGGCTTTTCCGAGTTGCTAGCTTTTTCGGGAGGGCGGTCCTTGGGTCCGCAACGATCTCTCCGCGTCCCTATTTGGGAACATTCTCTTGGTAGCTTCACAGGGATTTTTGGCCCGGATGGTCTTGGTCGCGCCGTGTGGTAATAGAAAGTGCAGCTCTCCGGTACGTACGAGTGCGAGGTGAGCAGTGCTAACAAGGAGGTTTCGGACTTTCTTGGGTCGCCGAGGCTTCTTGCGCTGTCTGCTAGGTCCTGGTGGGCGCCGTTCGCCCAGGTGGAAGTGTGGCGCATCCTACGGGTTTTGTAGTGGAGTTTTACAGTGTCCCCTGGTGGTGGACGGTTTCGCTAAAACATACAGGTTTTTTTAGGCCCCCCCGGCGGTTCGTGTTTTTGCGCTTAGCATCGTAAGGCGCAATGTAGCGCCAGATGTTAAGACGGACGCGGGCCGCTCGCCTGTCATTGATGAAGCCGTGCGAGCAGGGGCGCCGTGTTTCACTTTGACAGGAATTCCTTACAGCCTCACCGAAGGCCAAGGCTACTGGTATCCTAGGGCGATGCTCGCGGGGTCAGTGACGTTGTCACTGGCCAGGGCCAGAATAACACACTACACACACACAGCATCAAGCTAACGCTGACACACACCCACGAAGGGGCACCCCGCGCCCGCATACCCCCCTCGCCGATGGCAGGGGGGCGCCCGATGGGCTGACTATTTTCGCACGAATTTACGACGCGACTTGTTGTAGTTGCACAGACGCCGGCACAGCCGATGGCTGTGCCGGTGAGATGAAGGCTTCGTTCTCCCCGCCACACCTCCCAGCACCTGGACGCGCAACTCCACAGGCACAGCCCCGCAGGCGCGGCGGTTATGTTGTTGAGTCGCATGGCTAGG